AGGAAGCGGGTACCCGGAACCGGAACCGGTTCCCGGCGGTTCCGGTTCCGGTTCCAAAAATTCAAGAACCGCTCTAACCGGTTCCGGTTCCGGTTCCAATATTTCAAGAACCGCCGGTTCCGGTTCCGGTTCCGGTTCCTATCAAAAAAGGCGGGTACCCGCCTATGCTCACCCCTATCTCAAACTAGCTAATAGATTAAAATCATGAAAAATAAAAAAGATTCAAAAGTAACCAACATATAATTTTTTTTGATTAACCTGGATATCCAACCTGCTATGCGAGCTGACTAATCTCAGGACGACCACCTGCTTTGCAGATAGCCCGGAGTCACCGCATTTGAACCTCTATGGCCACAAGGGGATTTTTATTCCTCCTTGGATTTAAATCTAGGACTTCCTGATACTTTTGACCTTTGAAGCTAAACTCAAACCAACCAAGCACCACCCTTATGGTTAAGGAACCAACATATTTGAACAAATGAAACCATGATAACACTACCAAAATTGTTGTCAACGAATCCAGTAATAACTCATAGTAAGGCATCCATGTTGATATGCCAATTTTAACAAGCAATGATTTCCCAGTGAAAGCAAACAGAAACAGAAACAGAAACAAATGAAATCTTATTCCCTCTATTGCTTGTGTAGGATAGCCTAGCTTGGTGCACCACACCAGCACCATCAGACTCGAACCAGACCCTACGGCTAACCCCGAATTCATTCTGGCTCACACTTCTTATCACTTAGCAACATACGAAAAGCTTCTGCCTTTTCAATCAACCCGACTTCTTGAAACGCTTTTAAAACCCTATCGCATAAAGAAACATCAAAATCGGTTGTGGCAGATGTCTTCCATTGATCGATCACATCTCCCACCTCATTCAAATGATCAAGCATCAGATAAGCAGATAGTATACAACCAAAGTTTCTGCTAATCATTTTCTGGTTCGTCATCCTCAAAGATTTCCAGATTTGATCAAGGGTACCCTTGTTTCCCAAAGCGGAATGCAATATAATAAGGAAATCATAAGTTATCCATTCTCTTTGTGTTATACCCTTTTCACTTTCGACCACAGAGTTGACCTCTGAATTTACCAGTTGACCCGACGTTAGATATATGCGCACAAGATTCACATATCTTGCCCAACTCTCACTCGAGCCAGCCTCATGATCACTCATTTCATCAAGAATGTTTCTAACTTCATCGATCTTTAAAGCTGAAGCACATGAGCTTATCCACAGGTTGTAAGAGTAAATATCTGGAGAAACCTTCTGGTTTTTGAGTTCTTTAACAACAGAAGAGACCTTTTCCACCTGCCCGACTGCCATGTATAATGTCATTAGCTCGTTGTATGTTATTGCAGTCAACGGAAGGTTAGATTCTTTGATCTTTTCATAGAGGTCTTCCGCCTTAGAAGTTAGTTTTGATGCAGCATAAGAGTGGAGAAGAGCAGTGTAAGATTCGGTTGTTTTAGCGCTGGGAGGTAAACTTTCGAAATAGCGTTCAGCAGCATCTATACCAAAAACTTTGGTCATTAAGTCGATTCGGAAAGCATAGTCTGAGTCGGATAATTCAAACTCTCCACGTGAAACCATCCACTCCGACAACTGCAAATGCACATATTCTTGCTTGTTATGTTATCGGTAATATCCTGTTATTCAACAAGGATGTTTACTGAAATGTAAATAATATCCAAAATTATCGATGAACAGTTTAAGGCTATGTTTGCAAACCATAAGATATAACTTATAAGCTAGCTTTTTTTTAGCTTAGTTAAAAAAGACTCATTTGATGAGCCATAAGCTAGCTCTTTTAAAGCTACTTTAGATAGCAGTTTTTCAATTTTCCCCCATGTTTGCCCCTTATATTTTACGTAAATCACCAAAAACCCTATGACAATTATGTCCGTTGTATTTTTTTTGTTTCACTTTTTTCGAGAATGCACCTTGTTAAATGTCTATTAGACGTAAATAATTCTTTATTTTTGTTAGTTGTTACTAATTTTTAAATTTTAATATGATAAAATGTATCACTGATCTGTTCTATTATATTTTGTAATGTTAGAATTGAGCAACTTCCACACATGCCCTTTTAGATCATTTTACATCGTCATCTAGTTTGTTAGCTAGTTTTACCAAACGCAACTAATTTATCATCTAACAGCTAACTTATCAGCGACGTGCTAGCTTTTCAGCCAGTATGTAGCTTATCAGCTAGTTTGTCAAACATAGCCTAAGTATTGGTAAAAACTAATGAGACCGTTCATGGTAGCCACTCGGAAAAGTAATTATGACAGTACAACCATACAATGTCCAAGGTTTTCCAACAATCTTCTTTCTGCTTCTTCTAAAGTGAAGGAAAAGATTGTTCATACTCCAAATGTAATGAACATCAGAAAGCCAACACCTCTGATTTAGCATGCAAAAACAGGCTCACAAGAAATGACAAGATAAAGATACTAGGCAGTGTTCCTAGTGATGCCTATTATTGTGCCATCCTTCTCAAGAATCCAGCCATCATTTCACCGATTCATAGCAGGTTAGAATGGCACTTAAAGTATAGAAAGTGGCGGATGAACTGATGAGAAACAACCTCAGAGTGTTGTCTTTTAAGTTGTTGATGCATTGTGTCCATATATACAACTTGCAGAAAACGAATTTATGGACAGTGTTCATGTGTTCCACTTCAAATTCACTTCATACCAAATGTGATATGAAACTTAAAAATCTAGCACAAATTCAAGACAATATACTTCCATAATCACAGCAAGATTGCTTTGTTGTTGCTTAAGTCAGTTGTGTTGGTAGGAATAACCATTGCCGTTGTACTCATTTTCCAATTGGATCGTTCTATCTACTAGCATTTCAACCTAAACACATTTCATAAACGGATTGTAGCTTATTCAAAAGCATAAGCATGGCGGATCCAGAGTTAGGGTTTCAGAAAACTCTATACTGGTAAAATCCAATCACATTGATCATACTACTGATATCAGGAAAAAAAAAAGGGTAATTTCAAATTCTAACCTCAAGAGCGTGTTTGTAACGGCGAGATTTACGAAGTTCTTTTGATATACGACGGAGATCATAGATGGTGATTTGGTGGCCTTCATTGATCCATTTCTCAATAACATTGGTTGCGCTACGCTTCGGGAGTCTCAGCCGGAAAATTCTGCTCTTCAGATCATCACCGCCACCGTAGTCACATTCATCTTCCGGAATCGAAACCGACGATTCGTCACAGACGACTTCCAATTTCGAAGCCGTTGACGACGAGGATGAAGACAAGGACCTCAGTAAACCATTAGTCCTAGTCCGTCCGCTGTCACTAGTGTTCAGAAACATAAGGAATTAGGATTTGCAGGGATCCATAACACAAAAAACGAGGTAAAGAATATGAAAAGCTTACCGAATGAGTCCGACGAAGATTGAACGCGCCGCCGCCATGTTCTAACACCGATTCACGATCAAATCCCTCGTCCTCTGCTGATAATGCCCCCAAAAAACGCAGAAAAAAAGGAAAAATAAAATTGTCAGAAGTGGGATTTGAACCCACGCCCTCTCACGAAGACCAGAACTTGAGTCTGGCGCCTTAGACCACTCGGCCATCCTGACTTCTTGTTGTTGTTTTCTCAACAACCATAGCTTATATACAATAATATATCATATAATAATAGAATCAAACCGCAAATATTTTGAGAATTAACAACTGATTTTTCTAATGTATAATCATGGTTGACAATACGCATTGATAGTACAAGATTATAAGTGAATATATTACAGTATATAGATATACTTAATATACCGATTCGGGATCATGTGAGACCAACATGTTTTCGTGAGATCCGTATGATCATTTTTTTACACTTGAAACTTCGCAGCAAAACTTTGTGGAGGTAAACTTCACAGTGTTTTTGCTATGAAGGTTCGGCTTTTTTTTTACCTTCACAACATTTTGCTATGAAGTTTCAACTGTAAAAAAGTGGTTTTACAGGTAGGGGTGCTCATGGGTTGGGTTGATCGGGTTGAGGACATTTGAACAACCCAACTCAATGCTTGCGGTTTGGAAAAATCTTAACTCAACCCAACTCAAACCAAAGTATAACCCAACCCAACCCAACCCGTATGGGTTGGTCGGGTTAGTCAGGTTGATACTTTGGTATATTAAAATATTCTTCAAACCTTGAATATGTTATTTCTCTACTCGTAATTTCTTTTTCATCATCAACCAATTAATAAAACTTATTCATATTTATTACGTATATCACATTCAGTTAATTTTCTCAATTTACATATATATGTTCATAGTTACTGAATGAGTTATATAGAGATCTGAATAGATTGAAAATATGTGTATATGAAAAAACATACATGATAGTGTAATTGTTTAATGTATATATTAATAGAAATTCAACAATCATATTAAATCCAAGAAATAAAAGGATATCGGGTTCATCGGGTTGGGTTGAGTTCAAATAATAATAACCCAATATCAACCCAATACCTACGGTTTGACAATTTTACAACTCGAGTAGATACCGGGTTGCTTCGGGTTGGGTTATTTCATGTTGGGTTGGGTTGGTTGGGTTTTTGAGCACCCCTACTTACAAGTCTCACGAAAACAGGTTGGCCTCACGTAAACTCAACCCTGAATATACCCATTGACAATCTATTATATTGATGAAATTTATATAGAGGATTTATTTATTAAAGCATATCCATTTTCGTGTTTGGAACGTCAACGACTAAATAATGTAATTTTATTGGATTACGCCTTTATATTGTTTGAGACCATGAAGGTCAGAAGTACCATATGGATACTTGTGACTCACGTGAAATACAATATAACTGATACTTGTTATATCAGTCTGTATGACATGACAAGCAAGTGTATCTGATTATGTGTACGAGCTTGGAATGTAACCTTATGGAATTCTTTTGTTTAATCATCTATTTAATAGCTTTTCTTCCCATTTGATAGTTTTGATCTTTGACAAATTCATTTGTGATGATATACTTGGTTTGGATATATTCATATATGAATTGATTAGACATGTTTGTATCAAATTATTCGTTCTAACTTCTTTTAGTTTCAATTTCTTCGTATATGGGTTTTTTTGTCGTTGAAGTTGAATGTGTTATATAATCAATTTAAGGGCACTGTTTGTTAGCAGCTGCAGCTTAATAAGTTTAATGAGAATCACAGCTTATTCGGTTAATTATACATGATTGTTTGGTAATGGCTTAATGATAATAAAAATGGCTTATTCGGTAAGCTTATAAAGGGAGCTTTATGCAGAAAGTCAAAAAAAAAGTTCCAAACATGTTCGTTTCAATTAAAAAACACGTTCATCCTATTTATGAAAAAAAACCCTCACATATTTCATTATTTGACATAAAGGTTGTAACTTTTATTGCTTTGAAACTGTGTTGTAATAAAACCCAACACTAGCTTTTATGTAACTTTCTTTAAAGATGTCCACCTCCTTTCCCTTCGGGCCCAGAGTCGTAAACCAAATGGAGGCACACGGGACCGAAACCTCAAAACTCGTTAACCAGTCGGGTTCTCGGTCTTCAATATGTTTTTTGTGAGGAGGTTCAAAATGCCATTGTTCCCCGAGCCATAAACATGACCCATCTTGGTTCGTTTGGTCTCAAGATATCTCATGTTATGCTTCGTTACGGGAGTCACAAGTGGAACCCTCCCCGCATCTTCCAAACCGTAGCCCTGGAGCCCGATGTATTTAGCCGGGTTGTTCGTCATCAGCTTCATGGTTCGTACGCCAAGATCCCTCAAAATCTGCAAATGGTTCAAACCGAAATCAAGATAACAAATTCAACTGGTTCCGTCATCCATGGGGTCATAGATGGTTCAAACAAGTGCGGAAACCGATCAAGCCTACCTGCGCACCGATGCCGTACTCCCGTGAATCTACCGGCAAGCCGAGCTCCTCGTTGGCTTCCACGGTGTCACGCCCGTCATCTTGCAGGTTATAAGCACGGAGCTTGTGACCTAACCCAATGCCTCGGCCCTCGTGACCTCTGAGGTACACCAAAACGCCCCGGCCCGCATCTTCAATTTGTTGCATTGCAAGTGCAAGCTGGTTCCCGCAATCGCATCGGGCCGACCCGAAAATATCTCCGGTTATGCATTCCGAGTGTACCCTCACAAGAATATCCTTCCCGTCCCCGATTTCACCCTGTTTCAACACACAAAATCACTTGTCGGTTTGCTACCGACTTTCTGTAAACCAAACGAAACGAGCCTAGTAATTCCCACACAACACCCCTAAAATATAGAGCAATTGTTTCCACGAAGACACCGACTAGCGATACCCTATGACTTTTAAGGTCAAACGAACTACTTTTCAAATCAAGATTATGCAACTTATTTAGCTCTTGAGAAAGAATTACAAATGACTACATAAAACTTGATAAAATAAGCTAAAAACTGAGATTCTTGATGCTAAATTCGTTAAAAATTCTTATCGATTTTGGTTTCCAATCGAAGTAAGTTTGACCACAAAAAAGTCAAACAAAAGTTGCTCACCTTGACCATAACAATATGTTCCATCCCGTCCAAGACCGATCGATAACAATGTGCAACAAACGGCCCCCATGTGGTAGGAATACGAGCAGCGGAAGCGTGTTGGACTAATTTATCGGTTTTCCTTCGATACCTGCCGATATAAACCGAATGTCAAAAAAGTCTTTTTCGTTCAGACATTTCTAAGATGATCAAGAAAATGATCGCCCACCTGATCAGATCAGCGGTAGATATGATCTTGAGGTTCTCTTTCTCGACAAACTGCTTAAGTCTTGGTAATCTAGCCATTGAGCCATCATCATCCACAATCTCACATAAGACAGCCACAGGGTCGAACCCGGCTAGCACGGCTAGATCAACCGAAGCTTCGGTGTGGCCAGCTCTTTTCAGAACACCCCCCTCCCTGTATCTCAACGGAAATATATGGCCGGGCCGGTTAAAATCCTCAGGCTTCGACTCTTTTGAAGCTAGAGCTCTTATTGTTGTCGCTCTATCGCTAGCTGATACCCCCGTTGTTGTTCCATGTTTTGCATCCTATAGAACAAGATCATAAATTTTTTCTTTAAATGTTCTTGAAATCAATAATCTTGAACTCCCAATTGAATCTTTAGAACAAGATCGATTGAATCATTGGGGCATTAGTTTTAAAAACCATTTAGAAAGAAGTAAAACTACATCCAATCTTCAAGAAAGTGAAAGATGACTCAAAGACCATCAAGATTTCTTGATGGTAGAATCATGTGTTCCATAATCTTGAACACCCGATTGAATCTTTAGAAGGATAGATTGAAGGGTTGGTCGAAAGGATCATAAATCGAAGGGATCAGAACGTGTTTAGAACGAATCTTGAATAAAACTACATACCACTGTCACTGTGAATGCTGTGCATAGCTTATCTTCGTTACGAGTTACCATTAGAGGAAGCTGCAATCTCTCCAAGATTTCGGCTTTCATGCTTACACAAACGATCCCAGTTCCGTGCTTAACGATGAAAGCCATATCCTCCGCGGTAACACTTGCTGCTGCCATTATTAGATCTCCTTCGTTCTCTCTATCTTCATCGTCTACAACCACCACCATCTGTGATATAAACAAGCCGAAGTAAGAGAAGAAGCGTAGGGTCTATGGGTGAAATGAATGAAGACACGTCCTCTACCCCAAAAGGGTATAGAACAGTTGTTTCCGTGAAGACCATCAGCTTGTGGAAAAGTATGAGCAAAAAGGAAAGGAAAAAACAACCTTTCCTTGGCGAATATCTTCAATTGCCTCCGGAATGGATGAGAAGCCTGCGGTTGGCCGATCAAAATCATATTCATCACCACTAATCGAAAAAGAATCCATACCAGGAATGGTTTCAGCGGCTAACGTAGCTATTGAATCAGACTGTATCTCAAACCCAGACGACACGCTAACAGCAGTTTTCCCCACACGATTGATACTCCGATGGTTAACAAGAGAGTCACCGTTTACAGTCAAGAATGAAGCTTTAAACATGCCATCGGACTTACTTATGGAGCACAATCTTTTACCCCGAAATCCCTCTCCATTCGATGTAAAAGGATTTAGATGGTATTGACCATTGAATGAGCTCATGTTTTTGGTCATCCTACATCATGGGCAACGGTCGAATTAGTACATTTAGAAGCAAGAAAGATAGATGAGAGGCCATGGCATGACAAATTATAAGTTTTGGACATCAAATTCTTTAGGTACCCATTAAAGAAATGGAGGAACACAAGGACTTAAGTGGTTCACTTAATAGGGTTCTTTTTCGGTAACCGTGGATGGTTGGCCCATCCTGTATACACCTTGACTGATCTCATGGAGTTAACGGCCAGTGGCCTTGAGGAGACTCGAATTGACGAAGAGCTCCAAAGCATGGGCCTTTATTCGCCGGTTGTGTTGCCCTCAAGGTTCGCTCAGATGGGTTCTTTTTCTTTCTCAACTAAACCCATGGAGATAACAGCCAGAAAAATCCCAGTTATCCTGAGAAGACTCAAACCAAAGATCTATGGGGGAGAAGGTTCAAGATTTTTAGCATTTATTTGTCAGCTGAGCGGATCTTATCTATGGTCAAAATGAGTATGTATGTAAGCATGCAAAATAAGGAACTTTCAGATATCTATATCTATAGTTGTATGTATCTACTTGTATGACCTTTGAATCAAGAACATGATCCCTAATCATTACATAACTTAACTTCATTTATGGAAACCCTATTGATATTTATGGAAACTCCAATTCTAAACCTTAAAATCTGAATCAAAACAAGCTTCAATACCCTCCAACTCCATTCTTGAATACAATCCACACAATCTATAACTTGTTCAGTACAGACATAACGAAAAAGCACCCATGTTGTTCTGAGCTCACAGAAATCAGAAACAGAGGTCATAAAATCTCCAAATTGAGCAGCAATATCTCAACCCAACATGAATTCGGAAAACCCCAAAAGCACGAATACACTAACAATGGTGAAAATGGGAAGATATTGAACATAGAAACAATGCAATTATGAGGACCAGTTGAAGAATAGAAGAAGATAGAGAGAAGAAAAGGTTTACTTGGAGCGTAGTAGAGGTGAGGAAGGGGAGGCCATGTTAATGGAAGCCATTGATTCGTCAAAAATCAATCAGAAATCGGGTTGTTGTATGGTTAAATTTGGAATCTTGGTTGATTTGAATGTTGAAAGAAAACCCAGATTGGAGTCAGTTTTATACATGAATGATAGTAACGGTGTTAAAGAATATGAACTGTATTGGTTTGAGTTTGGCTTCAAATGTCAAAAGGATTCGGACGTCAAATTTAAGAAGTAATAAAAATCTGTTTGTGGCCATGGAGGTTCAAATACAATGACTTTGGACCATCTGCAAAATAAGTGATCGTTTGGGATTAATCGGCTCCTGTAGCAAGTGGATTTAATAATAATAATAAATAAAAAAGAATATGGAGGGGAGTAATGAAAGGATCGGACAGTCGGAAGGTATTATTAAAATGTCATCCCACAAAAACTAGAAATAAATAATTATTTATAACGGATAAAAAATCTGTGAAAATCTGTTAACCCAAATAATTTAAATTTTATTATTGTTTTAATCAATGAAATAAAGATACGTAGGATTTCTTTTATATTTTAAAATTATTTAATTCAAGTTTATTTTTTATTTTTTATCTGATAATGTGTATTTATATGATTGATGGATGTTGAAAATATGGGATAATAGATTTTTTATCTGTTTGTAACGACATTTTAGCTGTTATTTTAAAATCTAAAGAAATCTCTCAAATTTGATACGAAGGAGATATATATATTAGAGTAAATTACACTTTTGGTCCTTGTAATTGTCATTCATTATCAACTCTCGTCGGTTTTGATCACTGTAGTTGTCACTTTATTTTGGATTTGGTCCCTCTGGTTCCATTCTATTTCAGGTTTAGTACGCATGGGAATAGGCCCGACCCGTCGGGGAACCCGGTCCATCCGCCTCGTTCGGACATAGGGATCCCCGTTTGTCTCAAACCGGGGAAGGGGACGGGTATGGTACTCCCCGCCCCGTCCCGTACCGTACCCATTATATATATATATATATATTATTTATTTCACTAAAACGTTAGTTCATAATTTTCTATTTCCTAACTAGGCTTATAATCTAATTTTGTTATTTTTTGGATGTTAATATGTAATATTTTGGATGTCAAATCAAAATGCAATTACCCGATATGGTTTTATATTACTCAATATTTTTTGGTACATGTGACTTTAAGTTTTTTTGGATTTAATTGAATATTTTGTGGTTTTAGGCTATTAGTTCTTATATGATTGTGTGGTTTTTTTTTTTGTATTAAATTAAATTCATTTTGGTTTTAGGTTTATTGAAAATGCTTGAGATTTAAACATGTATGGTCTCTCATATATTTAATTTAAAATAACTTATATAAACGGAGAAAAAATCTCCGTTTCCCCGTTAGGGATGGGGATGTGAATATATTCTCCGACGGTGATGGGAACAGGGATTGAGGTCCCCACCCCGCCCCATTCCCATGCATAAGGTTTAGCTTATCTTGCTAACTCAGTTAAGCTAAAGGGTATTTTGGTTTTTTACTGATTTTATATTTTCTATTTTATTATAAATTTTTGTTTTGATGTATTTGTGAATAAGTTACATTGTACACATGCTTTGCTTTAAGCATGTGTACAACCATTTGTTACGCCTCAACTGCTATCTCGACAATTTGGTGAACCTCTGAACTGATACCATCCCCTTCGATCATCTTCTCTGGCAACCTAACTTCTCTCCAGCAAACCCAAATCAAAACCAATTTTCAATGTGTGCACCCCACGAAGTCCTCCTCGATGAACCCCACGATCCAACAAAACCCTCTGGATCATCTTTCCCGGGGAACCCCACATTTCCGAAAGAAACACATATCCAAAATGAAACACAAACCATTTACAGATCCAAAATCAAGAACCCAAAGTTAAAAACGAGATCGAAAACTCAACCTCTGAACCCTACATCAAAATCTAAATCAAAACACAACAAAAACCAAATCAAATCCGGAAAATCAAAAACTAAAACCCCAGTTCGTTCAGTTTCTAGATGTTGAATCAAACCAAAATTTCCAAAATCAAAATTGAACCATTGACTAGACATAACCCATACTTCCTTCACATAACCCATGCTACCTTCTTCACCTTGTCTAGATTTGATATATGGTATTATGTTTTATCATGTGCCAATCAATTATAATTGGTATGCAAAATTTTATATCATGTATCAATCAATTATATCTGGTATCAATTTTTTCCCGCTTGGTATATGTTTGCACGGTATTGTACCAATATCGCAAAAGTTGAAGTTATAAATTTATTTAAATTGACAATCTTTACCAATTAGATCTAGATACACTAAAACTATCGAGCATTCACATAACATGTTGACATGTGTTGTACCATTTATTCTTACTTAGATAAACATTCAAATAATCTTCATATCATACAAGCATTCACTAATAGTCTACTACAAGCGACAATTGAGCAGCGTTGATGGACCCTGGAGGTGTGGAAGAGTTACTAAGGTTGTTAGGGTTAGACGAATGAATTCAATCACATTCTATATATCCATCTGTACTACAATTTAGCAAAATTTAAAAAAGTATTAATTAGAATTAATTATCAATTAAAAATTATCATTATTTAAACTTGTTTATCTATACTATATTATAAAACATTTGACGAAAACTCTTAAAAATTATTTTTTATGCATGAAGTACTGTTAATTAATGCATATTACTTAAAATTCAAGATTACAAGTAATTTTTTACATAAGTATAACTTATTAAAGCTCCATGTTTAAATTCGTGTAACTAACTGTTGATAAATATAATCAAATACAAGATAAACATCTCATTTTAAATATAAAAACTCTAAAAGATAATTAGGATAATCATTGACTTCTAGCAGAATAGTTTATTGTTATCTTAATAAATAATTATATTATTAAATCAAAAATAAATTACTTTCATTATTAAATACAAATTAAATTATAATAAAAAGTTGAATTAAAAAAATTATATAAAAAATAAGAATTTTTAGATAGTTAATTTGATACTGATATCGATTTTTTTTTTCAAAGTTTTATGATATCTTCAAAATTTATATTTTATTCAAAAATAAAAACATTATTATTTTCTCAAAACCATGTAAAACGTATTATATCCAAAGAGACAAAGAATAAAACAAAATATTAAAATCGAAATGTATCTCATTGCATTGTGTAAGTATTAATAGCCATTTGAATTCATTCATGGTCCATTTGGTCTGTATAAATTATTTTTTTATTAATTGATTATTACAAAACAAATATTTTTAATATATTTTAAAACATTATTACGTAAAATACCAAATAACCCCATGGGGTTTCTAAATTCTTATGTTGTTGGATTTCACTGAAATCCCGAGATTTTAAATCTACACTTTTTTTCAAACCAAAGACGAAATCTAAATTCCAAATCCCTCCAGATCTCACAAATCAAACGAACCCTGAAATTATGTCAGAATCTGCAAACCAAACGTCTTATCAGTCTTTTCCAACATATTTTTTCTTTCGCAAGTGCTAGCTAATCTTCCCCCACTTAACGAACTTAGCCCTCGTCTTATCTTACATGTATTTAGTTATGTGTGGTTACTACCTTGTACCAACTCTATTTCCGTTCTTGTACAGTTTAATTTACCTCTGGATTCCTGCCTAACATTCTTCTTCTATGCTAGTAACTCATTTTTTTCGTTCAACTTGTGGATCAAGCGCTTACCCACTACACCAAAAGCAATTGCCTTGGTGAAGGCGCAACTTTATTTCCCTTATAACGTAGCAGCCAGCGCCACGTATCGATTTAGGAAGATGCTGGAACCGTGACCAACAATCCCCCCCCAGCATCTGTCGGTACTAATAAGAGCTTCGTTAGAAGTCAATGGCCGCGCAGCATGCCTTTCTCATAATTATGCACTCCTTGCATATTATGCACACCATGGGATTCGAACCCGTGACCTGCTCTGATACCAATTGTTAGGATCAAGCGCTTACCCACTACACCAAAAGCAATTGCCTTACTGAAGGCGCAACCTTATTTCCCTTATAGCGTAGCAGCCAGCGCCACGTTTCGATTTAGGAAGATGCTGGAACCGTGACCAACAATATCCTTATCTGATTTAGGATAATATGACATTCTATCATACCATATCTACCAAATAAATGTATGCTTGCGTTTTGGGTCCTTCCCCAGTTTTCCTCTACTTTTTACATGGTTCAACAATGACCGAAACTAATGAAGAATACAGATTGTTCACTGAAATAGAGAAAAAACAGAAAATGATCAAAATACAACAAAGTTTATTTATTTGTATTTAATGTAATGATAAACAAATTTTCTCAATTAGTATAACAAAATTTTAAGGCTGTGTTTGATAAACTAACTGCTAAGCTAGTTCGATAACTGATAAACAAATCATGTTTGACAAAAACTAGTTGATAAGAATGTAAATGACCAAAAAGAACATCTTGAAAAATTAATCAGTTATAATATTTTAAAATATAATTGAAGCAAATCTAGTGATATAATATATTAACCAATAT